CAGAGAATCCCCCGCCGCCCCGCCCTCTCCTCCCTGTGCCGCAAGCAGCAGGCGCACCTCGCAAACGGAGGGCGCCCTTACTCCCAGCAAATGGGCGATAGAAAACCGATCGGTGCCTCTGCCATTCCCAATATGCGCTGGCTGATGTCGGGGCAGCATGAGTACGAGCAATTGGTTTTTTGGGGGGGTTTTTTGGGGTGGGGTTGCCGATGCCCGTGATTCCGCCCCAGACAACCGCCCGTGTCGCCTGTATCAAAAACCGCTACTGTGTGAATGACTGAATGTAGTGTAAAACGCTTTGGGGTCCATAGGGACTAAGTAAAGCGCTATACAAATACAGACCATTTACCATATTTAATCATTATTCTCAAATTCTTCAAATAACAACAAGTCTGCAACTGAAGGAATAAAAACTAAAACTGTCAGGAGTCATTTCAGAATCAGAATCAGAATACTTTATTAATCCCGAAGGAAATTAGGGATTTCCTTCGGGCGAACACTATTTTAGACATTTGGTCTAAAATAGTCTGGAAGCGTCACAGTTTCACTGATTAACAAAATTAACTCGCTGATTTCAAATCTGAAAATTTCTTTTTTTTTCTTTGTTTGACTAAAAGCAAGTCCTGCTTTTAGTCAAGATGTTCCAAATATTGAACAACTAGAATGACTGGACAAAAACAGTTATGAATTTCAGCACTTAAGAAATAAGTCTGATGTCTAGAAAAGTGAAACCAAAATATAAGAAATTGAAGCAAACTGAATAAGCAGCATTTTTTGGAAGCATTGTGTAGGTTTTCCAGAATTTTCTTGGAAATCACACAGCAGAAAATTATGTTGAGCTTGTGGATAACATGCTGAAATCATTATCAGCTAAAGAGGATGAGAATGTCAAAGAAGACGCACTTTTTACATTCTCATAACTGACAGAGTAAAATTCATTCTTCTACTCTAGTTTTTGACATGACAGGTCTGAGAGCGCTTCACTCAGACTGCAGGCTTACTTGTTGATCCTAGAGGATTCCTAGATTAGGCTTCAAACTTTCCTTTTTGCTAAAGCATATAGTTAGGGCTGGACCAGGTGGCCCTGAATCCTCCCTTAGTTATGCTGCAATAGGTGCAGGCTGCTGCGGGAGTCCCATGATGCAATGAGTATTTCTTCTTCTGTCATCTTTTTCTCTCACTATGCATTTAATTATCAGTTCTTATTAACCTATTATTATTATTATTACTACCATTATTATTATCATCATCATTACTACAACTACAAAATATCATTAATCTCTGGTTCTCTTCCACAAAATGTCTTTTGTCCCATCCGGTCGAGGCAGCTTGCCTCACAAACTTTGTTTAAATTTCCCTAAAACAAATTAAAAAAAAGAAAAAGGTCATGTGACTGTTAATGTTAGTTCATATAGTTTCTCCAATAACTAATAAAAAAAGTAACGTTTTTAAAAGAGACTTAAAACTGTAACATTAAAGTGGTATACAATGAAAGACAAATGTTATATACAAAGCTTTCTTTTAATTAAAGTTATTTTTTTTAGTTACTCTAATAAACAAAAATTTCCAAATACACTGGAGAAAAAAAGGATGTAAATACAACTACATGAGTTACTGTTACTGAGTTACAGAGAGCTATAGATACTGGTGGGTGCTAACCAGCTGTAACACGGGTGAATAAAATATTTGTTGTTAGGATGGACGATCAACAGATTGTGCACTTCTTGATCTTCATGACATGTATGATATAAAAATCATCTATTTCTTTTTGTTGTTGTTCCTTCAGTTTTTTTATTTCTTCTTCTCTTGCCTTTTTATCATCTACAATTTTCTTTTTGTCATCCTTTTCTCCTTTTAGTTCTTCATCTTTTTTCTCCAAATCATCTCTGAGTGTGGTTTCTTTGCGTTTTGACAGTTCTTCTAAGAGCCTGTACTGTTCGCTGTGTTCTTTCTCTTTCTGCTGCATTTCTGTTTCTTTCTGTTGTACCTCTGTTTCATGCTGTTGCATTAAATCCTTCAGTTCTGTCGCATGTTTTAACATCAGAGCTTGAAGGTCTTTGGTGTATTTTTCTTTGAACTCATTGAACTCTTCAGCTTGTTTTCTTGCCTCCTCCTCATAACTCTTTTTCATGTCTTCCATTTTTTGCTTATAGTTATCCTCCAGTTCTTTTCGTTCCTTCTCTTCTTGTGCACTTCTCTTTCGGTCTTCTTCCTTTCGCTGATGGTCATATTTTCTTTTTTCCTCTTCATACTCTTCCTGGAGCTTTTTTAGTTTTTCTCGCTCCTCCTGACGTCTCTTGTCGTCTTCTTGGTGTCGCTTTTCCCACCATTTGTTTTTTTCCTTCTCCCAGGCCTCTCGTTTTTCTTCCATCTCTTTTCTACTCTGTTCCAGTTTTCTGTCAATTGTTTCCTTTTCCTCTGATCCTGACTTGATCTTTTTCTCCAGAGCTTCTCGTTCTTTTTCCCACTCCTGTTGTTGACGTTCTTCCTGCATTTTTCTTTTCTTTTCTTCATCATTTCTAATTTCTTGTTCTCTCCTCCTCTGCTCTCGCTCCTTTCTTATGTTTTCCTCCTTTTCATTAAGCTGTCTGACCCTGAGTTCTCTCTCTTGTTCAATTTCTGCTCTCTGTTCTTCCATTCTTTTTTTCATAGACTGAATTTTCTCCTCATACGTATTTTCAAGCTCCTCCTTCTGTTTCTTCATCTCTTCTTCCTTCTCTTTCAGGATTCTCTTCATTTCTTTCTGTATTGCAGCTTCAGCCTCTTGCGGCATCTCATTGGTGAAGTAGCTGTCTCTGTTGTCCTTCACCATGGCGTCAATCTTTGTTATCAGCTCACTGACTTGTTTTTGATTTTGCTTATCATAGTTATTAAACACATGGTATCTTCCTCCACAGTCAGAAATAAGTTTTCTAAAGGAAGCATTAGATCCCTTTTCAATGTACTCTTCAATGGACGTTTCATCATTTTGCAGTGCATCTCCTCTTGTAAAAAGAACAATGGTGAACATTTCTGAATTCTTGCCAAAGACTTCCTTGATGAGCCTTAAAGTCTCTTTCTCCTCTTCTGTGAGTCGACCAATCTGTAACACCAACAGGAAGACATGTGGTCCTGGAGCCAGAAGACTGATGCATTTTACCAACTCCTCTTGAACGTTCTCATTTGACAGAGTTGTGTCAAACAGACCAGGAGTGTCGACCACAGCAACAGGACGACCGTCCACTTCACCATGTGCTTTTTGACAACACTGTGTGACTGATGTGTGACTTGATGCAGCTTTAAATTCTTTTCTTCCTAGTATTGTGTTTCCTGAAGAGCTCTTTCCACTGCCAGTCTTCCCAATCAGCACGATCCTGAGAGGCTGTATATTCTGCTCCTCAGGATCACCTGTAAAAGAAGCATGTAGAGAATTAAATAATGCCAAATTTACTTGATAATAATTACGCACTGTGAGAGAACACTATACAGGTGAGACTCAAAAAATTAGAATATTGTGCAAAAGTTCATTTATTTCAACTTAAATGGTGAAACAAATATATGATATTGACTCATTATGTGCAAAACGAGATATTTCAAGCCTTTATTTGCTATAATTTTGTTGATCGTGGCTTTCAGCTTATGGAAAAGCCCAAATTCAAAATCTCAGAAAATTAGAATATTACATGAAATCAATCAAACAAGGATTTTAAATAGAGACATGTCAGACCTCTGAAAAGTATAATCATGCATATGTGCTCAGTACTTGGTTTGGGCCCCTTTTGCATGAATTACTGCCTCAATGCGGCGTGGCATGGATCAGCCTGTGGCACTGCTGAGGTGTTGTGGAAGATCAGGATACTTCAGTAGCAACCTTCAGCTCTTCTGCATGGTTCTGTCTCATGAGAGGACTCTTACAGAGGACTTTGGACCACTGAGCAACAGATCAGTTCTTTTTTTCCTTCAGGCCAGGTAAAAAGCTTCTCACTTTGTTTGTTGGTCAGGGGTTGCTTGATAAGAGGAATACGACAATTTGACGCCCGTGTCCACCTGTGTGTGGTGGCTCTTGATGCACTAACTCCAGCCTCAGTCCACTCCTTGTGAAGGTCCCCACACTTTTGAATGGCCTTTTCCCAATAATCCTCTCCAGGCTGCAGTCATCCCTGCTACTTGTGCATCTTTTTCTTCCACACTTTTCCCTTCCACATAACTTTCTATTAATGTGCTTTGATACAGCACTTTGGGAACATCCAAGCTCTTTTGCAATTAACTTCCGAGGCTTTCCCTCATGGAGGGTGTCTCTGATGGTTTTCTGCACAACTGTCAGGTCGGCAGTCTTCCACATGATCGTGATTCCTACTGAACCAGACTGAGAGACCACTTAAAGGCTCAGGAACCCTTTGCAGGTGTTTTGGATCAATTTGCTGATTATAGTGTGACACTTTAAACCTAAAATATTGTACCTTTAACAATATTCTAATTTTCTGAGCTTTTGAATAAGCTGTAAGCAATAATCATCAAAATTATAAGACAAAGGCTTTAAATATCTTGCATTGCAAGTACTGAGTCAATATCATATATTTGTTTCACCTCTTAAGTTAAATTACTGAAATAAATGAAATTTTCCACGATATTCTAATTTTTTGAGTTTCACGTGTATAGTAGTCAAACTTAAATGAAATCACAGATGTGCTTACCAGTTACTGTGAGCTTTGTCTCCATCACATGAAGCTGTTCCTGTAGAGTAGTTAATTTTTTCTGCTGACATGATATCTCATCCATTTTGCCATATATCAATGTGTCTTTTGTGTAACAGCAGTTTTTTTCCACAGTATCTAACAGCAGTGGGATCTGCTGTTTGTCCTTAATGTTGAGAACAACTGATCTTCCTCCAAATCTCTCATAGAGCTCCTGGATGTTCCTGCTTAGCTTTATGAAGTTAACAAAAGCTGGATCTGTAGGATCTGAGTCCACAGTGAACAGAATCACGGTGAAGTCATTGACTCGAGAGCTGAATGCATCCTGGATGGTCTCTAACTCTCCCTTGTCTTCATCAGTGAGGGGAGCCACAGGTAGGACCAGGATGAAGGCATGGACACCCTCAGGATCACAGAGGGAGATACACCTGAGTGATTCCTCCATCACTGCCTCCTGAGGTTTTCCATACAAGGCAGGCAGCTCCACCAGGGAAACCCAACGTCCACACACCTCTCCCTGATGTTTAACACACTCTGATGAGTTGGAGGCTGAATGAAGCTCAGTCTGACCTAAAATGGCCTTGGCTGCTGACGTCTTCCCTGCTCCTCTCCTCCCACACAGAACCAGGTTTAAAGATGGTTTGATCAGGTGATTGTATTGATTTGTTATTTCCTCAATATTCTGCATTAACGATCCATAGTTATCTTCAGACATGTTGTAGTGCCTTCCTCCACATTCTCTGAGGACTTCATTCACAGAGAAATTCATTTCATTCTCATGTGTGATGACGACCATCGAGTGTTTAAAGGCATTGTGACCAAACAGGCTCAGGATGAACTTCAGAGTTGTTCTGTTCTCCTCAGTGAATTTTGATGGTTTCACCAACAGCAGCAGAACATTTGGTCCAGGATGACAGAGACTCACACAGCTCTTCACTTCTCTTCTCATGTCCTCCTCAGACAGACTGAACAAGTCTGGAGTTTTCACCACTGTCAGTAGTTTTCCTCTCCACTCTCCACAGGAGGCCACACAGTGAATGAGTTTTTGGCAGTGAAATCCTTGGTACCCAATGATGAAGTTACCAAGTTTTGTCTTCTTATCTTCACTTTTGCCCAGCAGCACAATCCTGAATGCAGACACTGTGATACAACAGAGAGAAATGCAATGTTACAAGCACATGTTTAAATCAGGTGTGACGTATTTGTACGTTCACACACACACACACACACTACAGAAAATATTGTCTACCCTTTCAATTTGTTCAGTTTTGGTACATTGCAGCCTGATGATACTGTCGTTATAATAATGAGAAACTGATGACAAAGAAAGCGAATTTTAGTCTTATCTGTTTGTGGCTTCTTATTTGGTCATTGCAATATGTATAACCTTCTGTTCCTATTGCTAACCACACTGATTTTTTGTATAGTTTAACTTGTGCAGCTTGTGTAATTATTGTGTAATCTAAAATCAGGCAGAGAAGAAGCCTGTCTAATCTCTAAAGGCAGATCGTTCCACAGTTTTGCTTAGCTATTAGCTTAGCTCTTCATCTTTGTCATCTGCCCCACTGACACTTTTCTGGTCATTGTGTCACATGTTTTGCTCCTCTTCAGCCTCCTTAAATAATAACTATACTTTTAATAAATGCAGCCTGTTAGCAGCTCATGAGAGAGAGAGGTAAGTAAATATGAGTGTCAGTTTTATGCGCTGTGTCTGCTCAAAGCTGAATCCTACTTGGTTGAATCAGCTGGCTTTTGACTGTTTCGAGGGCAGGGTCCAAAAGAATAGAAGACCTAATGCAATTGGTCAATTATATGGACAATTCAGATTGACACATACCCATTTTAATTTTAGAAATAATGAGCAACACGCACCATTCTTGGAAAAAAAAAATACTGTATTTTTCGGACCATAAGGCGCACCGGATTAAGCATTAAGCGAAACAACAGAGTCAGATAAGTTACACTTTACTCAACTCCTTGCTTCCACTTCTGTACCATTGATTCATTAATGCTGAATTCTCTGGCAGCTGCTCTATTCCCATGTTGTTGCAGTATATTAATGTCTAACCTCGTATTGTGGATGGATTATCTCAGTTGTTCTCCTGACTGGAGGTCTGTTTACAGCATCCTGCCATGCGACTGTATTTGTCTCTAACCATCAGGAACCCTCACGTTAACTTTTATCGAGTGGAAAAAGTGTTAGCGTTCATCCTCCAGCTTCACTGTTTATGCTAACATAGCTGTGTAGCTAGAGATAGTAGCACATCATTATATACCAGCTAGCCCAACTTCAGTAACCCTACAAACATCACTGCTGTTTAGTTTTCTGTCTTCATTTATGTTGGAAGTGATAACAGAGCTGTATGTTTAATTTGTTTCAGAAATCTCTCAGTTGCTATATCATGTTTAGGTTGAAGCTAGCGAGCTAACTTCCTGCTAACTTTTAACTTCGTTGAATTTACTAAATCCTGTTTTCATGGATGCCTGGATGTTAAACTTCATAGTTACACCTGGTAAAGCAGCAACACTGATCATTTTATTGAAGATGAAAGAATTTAGACAGTTTTTAACTCTCAGTCATGCCGCAGTGTTCGTTTGACTGAGAAAATTTAATTTTACAAATAATGAACAAATATAAAGCATGCTTATGTTGCTGCCAGTAAGTGTGCATCACTCAGTAAAACACAGCTGTACATATCTGACTGCAGAGCTCCACTCACTGTGGGTTCAGGCTCCACTGTTATAGTTCATTCAGATAATATTACAGGTTCTCTGAGCAGACCGTCTGTGTAGTGGACAGGACAGGTGGATATGACTGTTTTTGGTAAGTAGCTCATCTGTCTGAACTAGTGTCTGATAAACAGTTCAGGTTGTTGTCATCATTTTGTGCAAATCTATTTATAGCTGCTGCGTGCTTACAGGAATGGAAAAAGTATTGAACACACATCATTTAACACTGAATTCAGTGTTAAATGATGTGTGTTGTTGGTGATGACAGCTTGTTTTCTTTTAAAAAAAAAATTGTACCTGTTGATTCCGGGTCTTTCTGTAGCAAGGGGTCGCTGGCTCCTGGACAACTCCTCACATAATTCTTTTCCCTCTGTCTGAAATCTTGTGCGGATGTTGATGATGATGTTCTTTCCACTTGCAGATAATGGCCAAAATGGTGCTCGCTGGAACCTTCAGAAGTTTAGAAAAGCTTCTGTAACCAGTGCCATCAGTATGTTTTGCAAGAATAACGTTTTGGTCTTGACAGAGCTCATTGGTTTTACCCATTATGAGGTGTTTCTTGTGTGACACCTTGGTGATGACACACCTTTTTACAGGTCATCAATTGGTCAGATAATATTAATTTGCACAAGTGGCCGGAGTGCTTCCTAATTACTGATAGATTTCAGCTGTCTTGCATCTTTCCTTCGTGTCATTTCATAACATCCCAACATGTAACATACCAATGCTATGTGACCAATCATCTGTATATTACACGTTTCAATTCAATTCAATTCAATTTTATTTATATAGCGCCAAATCACAACATAAGTCGCCTCAAGGCGCTTCATAGATACAGAGAAAAAAAAACCCAACAATCATATGACCCCCTATGAGCAAGCACTTTGGCAACAGTGGGAAGGAAAAACTCCCTTTTAACAGGAAGAAACCTCCGGCAGAACCAG